TGTGTCCTGAAAACCAGAGAAAAGTCATATTTACCTCTTTGGCTGTTTCCTGAAAGAAGAGTCTTTACTTTCACTAGGTATTTGTGATGCCGCTTCAATTAACAGTCAACGTTAGAAAGTACGTTTTGAATGTGGACCAGGCAACAATTGCTTTTGATAACCATATAGCGTAAATCCTTTGGGGATGATAAATCTGGACCAAAGCTTGTTTGGAAATTAGATGAAAACAATAGGACTCCTCTGTGCTCATTGGTTGGGGTGCGGGTCTGGATAGCCCAGGAAACTCTGGGTTCTCTCCCTTCCGCTCAGCAAGCCCTGGCTGAATACTTCCTGTGCGTTAGTCAAGTGCATTCTCATTCAGAGAGGAGGAAGCAGACTTTATATATAAATATAAATAAATAAATGCAGATCCACATAAAAGTACAAATGATGAGTCCTGGTAGCTTTTAGTTCCTCAGCACGTTTAGGTCCCATGGGCCACGTGGAGACTAATTTCTTCTTCTGACCTTGGAAGTTCATCAGATACTTGGCTCAGAGCCCAGAGCCCCTCTCCTCTGGTTCAGATGGCTCATCTGCTCACCACAGCACCGAAGAAGCTGAGGACCAGCCACCAGTGCATGAAGAGCAACGTCCTAAGTCCATTAGTGTTGAGGACGAGGTCCATGGAAGGTGCTTTCAAGATAGAGCAGGACGTTATCACCTGATAACGTTATCACGTTATCATCGGAGAGATGCAAGTCAAAACGATGAGGTAACACTCCACCGCAGCCCTGAGAGCAAGTTCAAAACACAGAAAATAACAAATGCTGGAGAGGGTGTGAAGAGATTGGCACCCTCATACACTGCTGGTGGGACTGGAAACCAGCACAGCCACCGTGGAAGGTGGTGTGGTGATTCCTCAAACAATGAACACACCATATCACCCAGCAATCCTCTACTGGACATATGCCTTACAGCCTTAGGACCAAAGCTCAAACAGATGTGCGGACACTTATGTTCATCGTAGTACCAGTCACAATAGCAAGAAGATGGAACAGACTAAATACCCATGAGTGAAGAATGCATGAATAAGCTTTGGTGCACAGCACAGTGGAACACCACGCAGCGTTAAAGAACATGGATGAACGTGTGAAGCGCTTCGGGACAAACAGGAAAATGCAAGACATGATTCCGTGTGAAATCCGTCCATCATAAAAAGACCAATATGGCATGAGGCTGCTGTTTTGGTTGTTATTTTCATCAAGAAAAGGTTTTCACGCTAAAAGTGAAAAGACTGTGATGGGCACCGGAGGTGGGAGGGGACCGGAGGGAAGGAGAAGTCAAGGCCTGGGTTTCAGACTGTAGGCAGGTGTTAGCTTGGGTGCAAGGAAACCCCAGAGGGAGGGTTGATAAGTTGTTGAACACAATAAAGACGATCTTCTCTGTGGGCCCTCACATACATCTTCATGAGATGCTTTGTCTTATTTTGCTTTGATTCTTGAAAGAGTGTGTAAGAGTTTTTCCCCCAATCTATAATGTATTTATTCAGATACATGACCCTGGGAGAAAATGAGAAAG